CTGAAGGCTTTTCAGTGAGTTTTTTGGACATCCTGATAATAATGAATTGCAGTAGTCCAGCCTGGAAGTAATAAATGCATGAACTAGTTTTTCAGCATCACTCTGAGACAGGTGATGCTCAGGACTCCTGAGAATTGACTCTTTTCCATGAAGCCAAAAACACAGATTAGATTTTCACAACCGTTCATCAGGACGAGGAGGCGTGATTGTGAGCTTCATTAATAATGTGACTTGTCACATTGATTTATCTGAAGAGAGTCCACAGATGAACACTTCTTTTCATGCTGTGTGGCATCTTATTAAATGGCTGTAGGTACAGAAGATCAGCAGTAAAAAAAAAAAAATCCTTTTTTTAGATTTCAGTTGACCTAATCACGTGTCCTTTTGCACTGAAAGTCATTTTTAGATAAATTTTTTTATTTTTCATTTTTTTTTCCCCTGCAGGAACAAACGGAGGCGTTACTGCCATAGGATTGGTTGCCAGCTTCCTCGGTGGGGCAGCAGTGGGTGTGGCTTACTTTGTGACGCAGTTGCTAACAGTCAGCGACCTCCACCTGGCCGACCCCCAGTGGCCGATCGTCGTGTACGGCGGCGTGGCCGGCCTGCTCGGGTCCATGCTGGACTCTTTCCTGGGGGCGCACATGCAGTACTCAGGTGGGTTTGAGCCAGATCTCATGTGAATGTTGTTAAGTGTTTGCATACGTATAGAAACTTCCTGATCTGCCACACAGCCTCTATGATTCTGTCTCGCAAACCCAGATGTGTCAGACAGATTCAGATGTTGCGTTCAGACTTTGAACCTTTAAAATGTTGTTTGACATCATTTACTGACTGAATCTCAATCCGGGCTCACATTTCAATATGAAATGTAATCAGATTACAACCAGCCTCTTTTAAAAATGCCCTTAAAATCCATTTAGTTCCGTTTCAGTCTTAAAGTCGTTTCAGCCTCATCTTCACTCAATTGTTCCAATAATCTCCAAGATCCAGCTGCAACAGATGTTTTTCATCAGTGTGATCAGTTACAACATGATCAATGATTGATCAGTGTCTGAAGCTTTACACAGATCAGTTTGATTTAAACACCAATCCTCAGCAACGTACAGCAAATGTTTGCAGTCTGACTGCTGAGTTACAGAGATGAGATTAAAGTTTAGTTTGAGCTGATTATAAATCAGATGTAATGGATGTAAAGAGTTTTTCCTTTCCGCTGTTGCCAAAGTGCCTGCTCATATGGTGTCGTCTGATTGTTGGGTTTTTACCTTACAATGTGAAGCTCCTCGAGATGATTTGCTGCTGTAAAAAATAAGATTGAACTGAATCTGATGCTGAAGTTTGATGTTCATACAGAGATCAGAGGAAGCAGGAGAACAGTGAGTGGCTTCCTTTTAGAGTATTAAACATGCCCAGTTAGAGTGAAGTTCTGCAGTTTCTTTCCATATAATAGTGAAGTTGAACATAACTCAGCGGCCCTCAGAGATCAAGCAGCTTTAACTCCAGTGAATGTCGTTGGTTTCAGGAGAAAATCCCAACTCATGGAGTTCAAACTTATTTCACTAAAAATTAAACAGAATTAAAACATAGCTTCAGAGGAGCTCTCCTAAACCTCAGTCCCTGTTTAGCTTGACTAAAACAAGTATCTGCATCTGCAGACTTATAAAAAAATTTTTTAAAAAAGAGTTTAACTTTTTGGTAACGTTTTCTGCAGCTGGGATTTCCTTTCATGCAATGACACGTAGAGATTTTCTGACTTTTCTCCTGTGTCCCCTCAGGCTTTGACGCGAGCATCGGGAAGGTGGTGAGCTACAGCTCCGCCACCACCCGGTGGATCTGCGGGAAACCCATCTTAGACAACAACGCAGTCAACCTGTTCTCCTCTGTCCTCATCGCGCTCATCCTGCCAGGGCTGGCCTGGGGTGCGTGGCCTCAATAGACTGACACTAAAAAGCACAGTTCACAGTTGTCTGCCTGTTTTATGACCTGCTGGCTGCCTGAATTAGCGTTACTCAAACATTGACTAAACATCTGAGACCAACGTCTTTTTTTTTCTTTTTTTTTTTAAACAAAACAAAACAAAGACAGGTTTTAATAACTGAGCCACACCTGCACCATCAGCTCCACCCACACCATCAGCTCAAAGCCACTGTGTTTTTAAACATGACATGTTCAGGAGGCCATAGATGTATTAAACTTCACTGCCAACCCCTCAGTCTGGATTTGACTGATTTGTTTTAGATGAGATGACGTTTCTGCCATTTAGTGAAAAGAAAAAAAAAAATCAGGAAATGAAACTGGTGTAATTTTGGTCTAAACAAAGAAAACTAGCAGCAAGGTGGGAGGTTGGTGACTGTGTCTGCACAGCTGTGATTAGATGAATATGAACACAGCAGCAGAGGGAATTTGGAGCATTAAGGTTAAACTGCTCTCAAAAGTTCAGGTTGAGGATCCGCGGTGGGCGGAGACATGAGGGTACATCTGAGGAGGCAAAGTCAGTCATTAATATGCAGCCGTGTAAAAGTTCAGTCGAAGAAGAGAAAATGTGGAGGAGTCCATGGATCATTTTCAGAGGTATTACTGTTTTTATTTCAGTGTCTGAGAGAGAAGGCACTAAACCAAACCGGGAGAGTGACATTGACTATGAACAGGCGAGAGAGAGAGAGAGAGACGTCAGGATTAAATTAATATATATAAAGTTTACAGAACAGCAGGTGCGCATGCACGCACGCACACACACACACACACACACACAGCTTATTATCTACACGAGTCCTGATTGGTCACACGGAGCTCGCTGCAGAGCGCCCTGTTTCACAGCAGGATATGTTAATGTCCAGCAACAAAACAAAAACCCTCAGAAACTCAAAGAGCCGACATCAAGTCCTTCCTCCTGCCGATACATGTTCAATTATTTCTGCAGCTTTTTTCTGTAAGTAAAAAACAAAAACACTGTATCCCACTCTGCCATCATCGAGACCTCTAAATTAACTCAAAATACAAGCTTATTCAAAGTTTACTAAACAATAACAACTTGACCTTTTTTCCCCTCTGAAAATATATGACAGACTCGCCAACAGTGGAGGAAAGTGTATTGTAGCAAAGCTGTAATTACTTTAACTCAAAATTTGACATTTCTCAGACTTTTCAGACCCCAAAAACCCCAAGAAGCCCCAAATTTTGATGATTAAAGAGCTCAATAATTTGATGTAAAGTCTGGAAAACAGTTTTAAGTTGTTTGAAAATAAAATGAAATAATGAGAAAAGTAAAACATTCTGAGAGCACAATTTCAATGGAGAAAAATCAAAGTGAGTCAACTTAGTGTTTCACATGAGGAAAAAAACTCAGTATTTTTTGATATATGAATAATGAAAGATTGACAAGAATAAGTAAAAATACTCAAATTCATGTTAATTTAACATTAATTATTACATTGTCAAAATTTGGAGGTTGAAAAAATTGTTCATTTTAATTTGACTAAGTAAAGCTGAAATTGCAGGAACGTAAATACATAATTTAAAGGATTGTAATTAAGAATAAGTCATGAATTTATTTTAAATTCAACATTTACAGAAAAAAAATTCAAAATTTAGGTTGTAAAAATGAAGAATTGTAATTCTGAATTCTTCAGCTGAGACGTTGTCACATCAGCTGTCACTTGTTCCCTGCGATGAGTTTTATCATAAATATATATACCCAAATATTCTAAATTGTTTATTTTTTAAACAGCTGCAGTTTTACTAAAGCTTTACTGCTGAAATAATATTTTCATGTAGTATTTAAGGTGAAAGTGAAGTCTGCTTTGAAAGCCACCACACATAAATCCATAATGACGGTTTCTGTTATGAATGGCGGTTTATTTTGAAAAATCATCCTAAATAAAAAGGAAGATGTGTCCCGTTAACTAGCAGGAAAATGAAGCGAACCTGGAAGCGCAGCACGACCTGCAGTTCCTCGAACGTCCACTTTAGGTGCCACAGACGTCTCCACAGCAGAAAACAAAAGGGGTTATTTTTCCTCAGTTTCTGTGATTCTGTTTACGACGTTCTTCCTCTTAAAACAATGACTTTATTCTACGGTTCAACTTCACCCTTGAAATATGACTTTTATCAGATATTTTCTCATATTTCTAACACCTATTTTTGATATTTTTCTCGCTTTGAGGCTTCAAAACCCACATGCATCTCTCCAGAGATCACATGTAACTGATGACCAAACAGTCTGTAGTGTTATTTTTTAGAAACATGTCAGTTTTCTGACACACTGGAGTGTTGCATGTTTCAGAACCCAAAGAAGTCCAGATCAGTAATGACAACCGGCACCAAAATCACAGTCTTCAGTCTTTTTTTGTGATGATTGAAAACAGTTTTTCTCTCTCACACAAAAAACACTCACACAAAAGAAGGGGGAGGGGCAAGAGCCGGGGAGGGGCAAGAGCCAGGGAGGGGCAAGAGCCAGGGAGGGGCGGGGCTTCAGCTCAGACTCTGCTGTGATTGGAGGACGGCCCCGGTCACAGCTGGTCTTTGTAGTAGCCAAGCTTGGCGAGGGACATTTCCCTGCGGAGCTGCATCACCTCCCAGAACATCTGTTCTGCTGCAAACACAGAGGGAGGCAGGGAGTTTAATCACACTGATATCAAGCCACCACAAGAATCCACTGGCGCGTTTCTTACCGTCCTGCTGTTTGACCAGCCCTTGGTGGATGTAGCGGATATAGGTGAAGAAGTTGCACACCGCTGTGATCTGAAGGAGAGAGGACACTGCTGAAAACACCAGTCAACAGTTTCTGAGCTTCAGGTGAAGTCATGCAAAGCTACTCTGCAAAGAGTTAAGGAATAAATACGTTAAGTCCATATATTTAACGTCAGGACAGGATTACATGCTGAACTATAAGCTTAGTGATTTTGCTAAAACTTAGGTTTCTGTTCATTTGGACAATTTAAAGTATTCAGATTTATGTTCTAATTTCTCATTTACATTAAAAAAAATCACGGAGGGAGGTTTCTAACTACAGCTCCTGTGACATTCACTTGAGGCTCCAAGTTAAAACTTTGAAGAATAAATAAACACATTTAGAGAAAGCAGTTTGTGTCTCTGTGGATAGTTTCATCCTTCATAACAAGTGTAAGACTTAAAGTGAGAGGCATGGCTGCTTTAATCAGTCATTCTGAAAGCTCTTCATTCTTATCCTCATGCAGAGGGACTGCTCATGTAGAAGTGCAGTAACGTGCACTGAATCACCTCCAGAGTTGTTTTCTTACTTTTACAGCGATGGTGGAATAAGCTGGCAGGATTGTTTTAGTGCTCACTGAGCTTTGGAGTAATTTAGAAAATGTTCTGGCTCAGGAAAGATGGACTGGACATAAAGGGGAGGTAAAGCTTTCAGGTGTGAGTGGGTGGCTGGGTGTTACACTCACTCTGTATCTACAGTAGGGAGACACGTAGTAATAGCTGGACAAATCTCCAAACTTGATTCTGTGCTTGCAGGTTTTGGTCTGACCACTCAGGGCACATTTTCTACCAGATGGACATAAACAAGAACAAACAAACAAAAAAAACATAAGTTAGCTGTTATTTTAACAGGAAGAAACAAAAAAAAAAACTCCTACAAAGCAGAAACTACACAGGAGCAAAACTAACACGGCTTGAGGCAGCGAAGGACGAGAAGAGGACGACAGGATGAAGGTTTGCATCGTCAGGATAGCTTTGACATCCTGAACAGAAGTTTAGAAGGAGGGAATAAGTTAGCAGGAGGGTTTGGAAGAGCCGGATGGAGTGGGGAGCAACTGAGGAGAGGCTAAAGAAGGGGAAAAAAGCTAATGGGGGAGAGAGTCAGACTTACGTGACGAGCTCAGACCTGCGCCCACTAGAGGAGGAAATCGGAAGATGGAGATGTGATGATGATGAAGGAGTGAAAGCTCAATGCAGGGGAGAAAGTGTGTGCGTGTGTTTGAGTTCAAGTGTGTGCAAGTGCTCACTTTGGTCCTCCGCACTCCACCGCCGATGCTTTGACCACAGGCAGCGGCTGGAAGCCGACCGGCTCCACACTCAGAGTGTTCTGCTCCACGGCCTCCAAGATGGCCGAACCCAGCTGGAAGAGAGGAGAGGAGAGGAGGGCGTTAACGGACGCAGGAGATATCAGAATCTTTCTGATTCATGTCAACATGCGTCTCCAGGGGACTCAGAGCGGCCCCGGCTTTTCCCTGGGATTTTCTAAACCCTGCACATTTGTCAACTGGAGTTTTTTAAACAATCAAACCAAACGCGTACCGAGACAAACCGGGTGAAGCCTTTTCCAGCTGGCAGAGGGTGAGCACAGGGCACGCCTTGCCAAGTCGCCACCCACTCACGCTCAAATCTTCTTACTGTGAGGCGACAGTGTCCCCAAGAAGGCAGATGCATGCACCTTTAACAAACTTTTTGCAGCTTTGTCTACAGAAACCTAACATCTTTTAATCATCTGAGCTAAACAGTGACTGAGTTTGTGAGATCAGATCAGAAGTTTTAAACCTTCTAAACATTTTGATCTTCACAACAAAAAAAAATTAAATGATAATATCAGTGCTGAAATCCCAGATGGATGCATGTTTGCATGTCTTTCTACTCCTAATAAAGCGCTTTTAAGAGTTCGGGAGGTCGTCATGTACCTCGCTCTTGTTGAAGGTCAAGCAGGGGTAGATGTCCTCACGGTAAATTCTCTCCAGAAAGTTGCAGCTTCGGTCGAGCGTCGGCTCCTCCTTCCATGCCTTGAACTCACTGAACAGCTGACCGTCCACCTGCAAGTCAGAAACTACGTGCAGTCTCATCATCGGCTGTTAAAGAAAAAGCTCTGGGAGCGTGAGCACTCCTCCTCCTGCTGCACCTCTTACCTCCCGACACTCGCGTACAATGGGCTGCGTGGCCGACGGGTCGGGCTGCGTCCCCAGCATGGCGGAGGAGGTGCTCTTGTTCCTGCTGTGGCCCTTCCTGAAGGGAGTCTTCACGCCTCCTCCCGCTCCCACAGAGGGAAGCTCACCCACCGGGGAGGTCGGGGAGGAGAGCACAAGAGTCTTCAGAGCCTGAACCTCCGCCTGGAGGACGTCGATCTGAAGAAAGAAACAGAAATCCTCAGAGTAAGCTGGTAAACAGTCTGGTCTGGTGTGGAGTGGTGAGTGCTCACCTTGCCCAGAGCTTCTTTCAGCTGTTTTTCAGCATTTGCCTGTTTGACGTTTGCTTCTCTCACCATTTTGTGAGCCTCCTGGAAAACACACAGACGGTGAATCAGCAGCTAAACAAGCTCAGTGCAACTGAAATATCATAAATAAACTCAAAAACACAGAACAGGAACATAAAGGTAATCTGCATTTACAGACACACACAGGCACACAGAGTCCCAACACCTCCTGCAAGAGAAAGACAAGAATGAACGAGAGCAAAGAGGAAGAGGAGTTGGAGCAGCACGTTTTCAGGGCTCGCCGGACAGATTCATTCAGCACAGACACATCGGAGGACGCCAGCTCTGGACCTCACATGTCACAGGAGACACTCGTGGAAACATTCTTAGGTTTTTAGCATTGTGCCTCGATCTGTGGTCGAGTTTGAGCTTTTCAGCAGGGCTATCTGTTGTTAGGCAAAAAGGCTGCACTTCATTTTTAACATAATACAACACAAAAGCTAAACTGAACAAAAATAATAATTTAACTTTATTCTCATCAAATTCAATTATCTGCCCATATTTAGAGGAAACTTGCGATGCCTGATGGGTGACAAAACTAAATGTTTAGAGTTCACCTAAAAGCTTTGTTAAACCCGTCACACCTCTTTCACACTGCCTGTGTCAATCACTCATATTCTTTCTGTCCGGTGCCTCAGGAGGAAGAGGAGGAAAGGAAACAGGAAGTAGAGGACACAGACGTAGGGTAGGTGGACCGACCTGGAAGAGACTGGCGGTGAGCTCCTCCAGCTCCTGGCCGAGCTGATCTCTGACTTTAGACAACCTCTCACACTCCTCATCCTTCAACAGCAGCTCCTTCCACACACACACACGCACAGTAACACAATAGAAAGACAACCAAATGAACATGTGGAAATGAAAGCATGTCGACAAACGAACAAAGAGATGAAGAAATTAAAATAAGTGAAACATGTTTAACGCAAAAAATCATTTAAAACATGCTTTTAAATAAAACTCTGAAAATTACACAATATCGCTCTAAAGTAATGAACGCTGTGGCGAGATGTAGTGAATACACACACACAAATACACACACACACAAACATAAAGGAACGCAGTAACATTCGTCTTGTTGTGTGGCAGTAACGTCCCTCAGTTACTCAGAAAAACCTCAAACCTTCCTCCAGGAACTATTTTCTTTTTTATTTCCAGTCTGAAGAAGCACACAGTAAATTACAGCTCAGCTGAGGCAAGACGTGATCGTTGTTTACATCCTGTCGTCACAGTAAACGGGCACTGCCTCCTACACTGTGGCTAAGATCTGGTAGAAATAAAATAAATCCTAATGAAAGTGCCAAAGCAGACGTCTGTGGATTTTATTTTATTTTTTGAATTACGGTTTCATAATTTCTGAAGACTGCCCATCTTTAAATAATTTCTTTCATCTTTTTTCTGTGCTCTCTCATGTCTCTGCTCTTGATCTTATTTCTTTTGTCTCTCCTGACAAAAGCATCCCTGACTTTGGGGTAAACTTTCCCTTTAAAGCTTAAACACGAGAACTTGAGTTAAAGTCATGATTAGGTCACTTTCAGGTCAGATTAGTCTGGGGGAAGCTGACGTTGCAATGTCTTCTGCGTGATGAAGACATAAACCTAAGTGAGCGCACCCTACCCTCTGAGCCTTGGCGAGCTCCTCCTTCAGCCTCTCATATCCTTTCTCTCGGACCTCCATCACCGACGGGCTGCGCAGCCGTGACAGGCTGTCACTCAGAGCACCACACTCCTCCCCATCCTCTCCGGACATGAACTCGGCCGACTCTGCCTCCAGGCCCGGCACGCTGTGCGGGGAACAGCACGGGTGAGTTACGGATTACGGCTGATCGATTGGGTGCAGGCGTCTGTGTTTTTGTTACCTTCCATTGTGGCTGTGCCGCGGTGCCGAGTACACCGGCTGAGTGGGCAGCTGATCTGCTCGCAGTGAGGTGGGGAGGCCTGGAGGAGGCGCTCCCAGAGAGTGGGTGCGATATAGAGAAGTGGGCGGGGTGGTGTGACGGACGGACGGGCGCTGATCCGATTGGTTCTGCAGGGCAAACACAAATAGTCAGGGTGACACAAATTCCAGAACAGTGGGTTTATGATATTTCATCTTCACGCACAAACACACAATGAACTTTTTCACACAGGACACAAAAAAAATCCTCAACAGCGAAGGGTTGTTTGTTTGTTTTTAATCATGCACAAGAGAAGACTCGGAGGCTGCGCAGATTTCTAAAGACAAACACGTTTTTATACCCCAAATTCAAGCAATGAACTACGAGAGTGGACCTCCTGAAACGTGAAGCATGCAGGGAGCTAACGGGAACGGCTGGAGCTCCGACCTTACCTGAAGGTCAGGTGTGGTGGGCGAGGCCAGATTCACCTCGTGGAACCCCTCCAGAGTCTCTGCATTGTTCTGACCGCTGCTGCAGGCCATAGCAACTGCTCTCAGACATCATACACTCTGAACACACACACACACACACACACACACACAGAGCCGTGAGTCGTGTGAAAGCTGCAGCAGTCTCGCTTCAGTCCAGACTGCAGATGGAGAATTGGTGACTAACAGCGGGGGGGGGACGGACCCAAAAACAGGCTTCAAAAGATGTTTGTTGGTGAATTAGCAGCCGTCAGCGCTCTACTCGCTGCAAGTTTGCAATTAAAAAGTTTCTCGTTAACGCAGACAAATACAAAAGTCTTTCAAATGGATCCTTTATGTCCAGTTTATGCGAAGCTTGTAAGAGGCAGTGGTGGTCTGAAATTCAGCTGATTCTGTATGCGCTCCTGCAAACAGGTTCACGACTACACCCCCACAAAATGAAATACCATCTACCCGCAAAAAAAAGAAAGAAAAAAGATTAACAGTCTGGCACTCTGTTTGCTGCCCCAGCTGGACATAGAGAGTACTGCAACATGCATAATTCAAATCACCACCTCAGAATTAAAGAAAACATCAGTGTGTTTTAATCTTGTGATTATTTTTCATGTGAAGCCCTGAAACTGTCAAACTCTTGCAGGTGAGTTCAGGTGTTAAATTCAGAGGTGTTAGACTTAAGGTGCGCACAGAAAAGCCTTTTCAGCAGATTAATGAAGAAACAAAATCTACATGGTGCTCACAGCAGAAACAGCCCTGGACCTTATTAACGACTGTTTGATGACCTGAACAAATAATAAAATAAAAAAATTATTTGGGTTTTTCTAAACAGGCTAACAAGCTCAGTGAAAGTGTCTGAGATCTCAAATTGTTTTCTGTTCACTGTACCATGGTGCAGCTGTGGATGGAGAAATCTGGAGGTTCAGTGGAGGCCCAAGGACAAGCAGTCAGTAAAACTCAGGTGAAGGAGTGACTCAGCACACGCCAACAGGAAAAGACTGTCCTGTACCTGAAAAACAGGGAAAGAGGCACAGAGACAGGTTAGTTTTACTTTTCTGCTGTGAGTTTAAAATATTTGTCTTGGTAACCAATCCTAAAGGTCTTTTAAATATCCACTAAACGCCTTTATTTTTAATGGTATTTTTAAAATCCTTAAATGAACCCCCAGTACTCCTCAAAGAAAAAAAAAAAACTGGAGGTAGCAAGAGCTCAGGCACTTTTTGCAGTCCAAGACCTGCCTGAGCCAGCAGCAGCTCCAGGTGAGCTAACATTAGCTGGTTTATGGATGCTGACTCGTAACATTAAGAGAGAATGAGGCGATCCCTGCATTTACCGTTTTACTGTCCGGATTCCAAACCTTAAATGAGAGCCGAGCTGAGTGGGCGGAAATTTCAACAGTAATTAATCTCACAGGCGGAAACAGGAGATGTCTTTGCCCCAGACTTCGCCTGTCAGGCTGCTGCTGCTAATTTCAAGGAGGGTTTGTGTGTTTTTCAGTTTCTTAAGAAACATTATCATCGCTGTTTTATTGATTCCTGCACAGTTTTCATTAAACTCCAGGTCTGAACACAGTGTACAGACATCGCTCATGGTTTCAGCATGACAGCACAGGAACTCAGTGGGACACTCTCTTGGATTTCGAAGCCAGTTTTTCCATCCCTAATTGAGACGTATCCACACAATAACGCCTTTTAATTTAAACTGAAGCTTTTTAAAAACTATTTCCCTTTCTCCACTGAGCATTAGTTGCAGGTTTCACACCAATAAACACACCAAGCTCACTGCGCTGGTAGAAAATAAAGCCAAACTGCCAAAAATACTGATGGCTGCCAGGGAGACATTAGGCTGAAGTACACCTGTGAAGCAAACATAATTTACTCATCCTGAATGTCTGACTGCTCTCTCAGTTCCTGCACTGTCATGACCAGACACATGACCCCACGTCACGGACTGTTATTCCTCAAACGTCTATTCAAATACAGCAATGTGTGTTCACAAGATTTTCAGTAAACTTAATCTCTGACCTTGAGGTCAATGTCCATGAGATTCAGCTCGCCTAAGATTTCTAGTAGACGCTCCTACACCAATCTTGAGTCATCGCTGCCCGCCCGGGTGATGACAGGACACCATCAGCCTTCAGGCTTAGGAGTAAAAACTGCAGTTCCTCTGACATCCACTTGAGGCCGCCTCCAATGCTGAGTCAGTTCCCATAGACTCCGATGTTAAAGCAGGTGGTACAAATGTGCTACCACAGGCTGAAGGCTGTCTAACTGACAGTCCCTGAACTCGACCTCTGGACTGTTTGTGCTGTTGGCACTTTTCAGACTGAATTATCTGACTAGTAATGCGGCGTCCTGCATTTTGGTGAGTGAAATTTTAGTCTTCCTCATCAGGAAGCATTACAATTACTTGACTGTATGTGTCAATCCTGCACCTCGTCCCTCTGAGTCTGGTCTGATGGCAGTAGCACTGCTGCTTCACTGCTATAAACAGGACATTTTATCCTTGGAGGCTATCTGCAGGCAACCTCAAGTGGCCGTTAGAGGAACTGCAGTTTTTGGCACCAACACATTGGTCTAAGAAGAGAAGTCCAAACAGGAAACTCATATTTTAAAGCTTGCTAATCTTTAAATCTCTGAGCTAGAAATGGTAGCAAGGACCAACAAGATTTCACATGCCAAGCTCAACAAGCCAAAACACCACCACCAAAGAAAAACAGCACTGTATTTCTAGAGGTGGGAATCACCATACATCCCACGATACGATATTATCACAATACTTAA